CAGAGCATACCCACTGTCCTGCCCTGCTAGGACCTGCAGATACCGGATCATCAAAACCTGGGCAGCGGGCACCATCCACTCAGAGCCTTTGTTGACACACCAGCTCTGAGACTGGTAGTCACTGTATCCTTGAACTATGCCCCTGACCAGTTGTAGCTGGGGATGTGTTTAAGTATGCCTCCTTCCAGACAGAGGTGCGTTGATGGTCCAGCTGACAGCACGGCTGATGTTATGATGGGTTGCACTCTGCGTGTCTGTCACTGCCTTGAGGGAGTCTGTGACTTACTGTAGGGCATTGAGTTCCAGGTAGCAACTGTTCGTATGGAGCTGTCTTGATCTGGAGAGAAAAACACATTCCCCTCCATGTTAGTTGGTCAAGACAGAGTCTGGTATAGCCCAGGGAGAAGTCTGAGGAGGAGAAGAGGGCCCATGTGAAGAACTCATGGCACTAAGGGACCCAGCAAAGGAATTGTCCCATCTCAGAAAGGGCCACTACAAGACCTTGACAGGACAAGGGGAAAAGTTGTGTGGTAGCCGCAGAGAGTTCTGGCGGGGGTTGGGTGGTGGGGTACTGGGGTGTACAGGGCTCCTATGTGGATGCATGCAAAGGGACTGTTGTGGGGAGAGCAGCCAGGCTACAGGTTGAAGAGTCACTTCTTTCTGTGGCCTGGGGACAGCGGTCAGTTGGACACAGGGAGGCCTGGAGGAGCCTGTGGAGGAGATACAGCAGCTGCAGTCAGGGCAGCAAGCAGCACTTGAGCACAGTGTTGGGTTGGTGGGTGATGCTCCTGCTTTTAGCATGGAGGCCCAGCCCTGGAGGGTGAGCAGCCCCAGGCGGCCTTGACTCAGGCTTCCTCCTCTGTAAGTCAGGTTGTGTGGAGTTGAACAGTGTCCTCCTAGTTCATGTCCATCTGGAAACAGGGTCTTTGCACCTGTTGTTGAGGTATGGTCACCCTGGCGAGGGTAAGATACTGTCCCAGCCAGCAGGGGATATCAATGTGGGCGTGGCAGATATCAGTCCCTGGGGTATGTTGGCTGGGAAAGTCAGAAGGGACCTATCTCTGGTAGCTTAGGTTTTGTTCCTTCCCCTCTGAAGCTCAAAGAGGTCACCTTTTTGAAGGTCCTAAGGGGGGGCCAAAAGGAGAGCAGTGGGGCCAGGAGGAGGCTCTCTGGTTCCCCTTGCTTGGGGGGAATCTACACATCCTGGTTCTGCCTTCAGTGCCAGTGTGAACAGCTCAGCAGGACCCCGTGCGTGGAACTGAGCAGGAGACGTGGAGCCTGAGCTCCCAGGGTAGTCAGCCTCTCGTGCCTTCCATTCAGGTGCTGACAACCTAGCTGCTGGGCGGCCTTGGTTCCCTCTTCTCGTTTGCTTGCCGAAGCTTAATGGAGAAGCTGGCCCTAGTTCCAAGGAACTGCAGGATCTTAGACAGGGGAACCTTCTTGTGGGAATGAACCTTCAGAGAGCCAAGAGCTCTACGTAAAAGCATGCTTTCTACTTTGCTCAGCCTGTGCCCACCTGGGTGCATAGGCTCCTGCATCCAGGTGCCCATTGCCTCTGCATCTTGGCAGTCCCTCCCCCGCTTTTTCTGCATGCAGCCTCTAGCAGTAGGAACAGGGCTGGCCATTCCCAGAACAAAAGGAGGTCAGTATCAGGTTGCGAGGGACCTTCTACCTCTTTTGTTTTTGTTCTTATTTGTTTCCTTCCTTCTCTTTCTATTTGTGTGTGTACACGCATGCTCATGTGTACACCTGTTCACATGCAGAAGACAGAGGAGGACATCAGATGTTTTCCTCTGTCATACCACCTTATTCCCTCAAGACAAGGTCTGTCACTAAAACTAGAGTTAGACTGGCAGCCACCCGAGCCCCAGGGCCCCTTCTGTCTCCAGCCCCCACAGCATCAGGGTGACAGGTGTGTGTGTGTGTGTGTATGTGTGTCTGAGCTCATCTTTTTACATGGGTGCTAGGGATTTGAACTCAGGTCCTCATGCGGTATAGCAAGTTCCCTTACCCTCTGTCCTCTCCCCTACCCCTGATCTTAGTTTTCTAAATTAAAGCCATAGGCGCTGAAGTCCCCAGAAGCAGGACGAAGAAGGAAAGGGACTTGTGCTCAGCAACGGAAGGTGGTTGCAGTTTTACATGGCAGAGCATCCTAGGATGGATGAACATAGTAGTTAGCACCACCAAATGCACCCTCAAAAGTGCTTTCCTTAGTACATTCTCTGGTGTGTGTGCATCTTACCATAGTAAATAAATCGCTGGGACAAAGCCATGGAAAGGCACCGTGGAGCATTTGGAGAGAGACTTGCTGGAGCCACTCTAAGCCGGAGCCCTGATGGGGTTGTGTTTCTTCTCATACCTATTTGCAGTGACCGCCAGGGCTATAGTGATTTGCAGCTGGTGTCCTGTATGAGGCCACAATAGACATACCATTGTCCCCACCCTGTATGGGGCTGGTAGTAGGTAAGGGTGACACACAGTGAGGATGGACCACTGGCTCTGCAGACATCAGTGTTCTAGGATGCTGAAGCACCCGCAGTGTTAGCGTGCGTTGGTTTTCTGCTTGGCATCATGGCCAGTTTTTGAGTGAGTTAGGACGTAGTCTCCTCACTGCTCCCTGCCATCCCCCCTGCACTCTCTCCGGTTCTCATTTATTTATGCAGTCCTGGGAAATGTGAACTGCTCTTTCACGTCGGGTGTGGCGTCTTTCGACTTCATTGAGTATGCTTTAACTTTCAAACACGTGTGCACTTTTTTTTTTGGTTTTAATTTTTACATTTGTCCAGTAGTCTCTGTTCTTTTTTTTTTTTTTTTACTTTGTGAATGTATTTTTCAGTCTCTTTAGACATTTCTTTTAGATTTATTTATTTTATATTATGTCTATTGAGCGTGCTTTGCCTGCATGGATGTGTGTGCACCACAGGCATGCCTGATGCTTGCGGAGGTCAGAAGGGGACACCCAATCCCTGGACCTGGAGTTTGGATGGTGGTGAGCCCCAATGTATACTCTGGGAACTGGTCCCCTAGAGATGCAGTTAGTGCTCTTAACTACACTGAGCCATCTCTCTGGCCGATATCTCTTCTCTGGTGGTTTATTGTGTATGCTTTTAAGTTTAATGTCCCTTTGGTTCCCCTGAAATTCATAATTCCTGCATGTGATTAAGTTTCCTAGTGGCTAGCATTTGCTCCCACCCTGAGTGACTGCTTGCCCCATCCACCACACTGCCTAGGGCTGGGTGTAGGTTAGGTTCCATTTCCCTTGGTGTGTGCTCGCACTTTGGCCCCACTGATAGGCTGCACGCCTCCACTGCTCTGTGGTTAGAATGGTTAGAACGAGCAAGTTCTTTGTCTTTCCTTCCTTTCCCCCCCCCCCACTTCCCCAAACCCCTGCTTCTTTCAGTTTGCTTTCCTTTCTTTCCTGACAGGATCTCACGTAGTCCAGGCTAGCTTGGAACTTACTATGTAGCAGACGTTGACTTTGAACTTCCGACCCTTCTGCCTCCATCTCCCAAGTGCCAGGATGACAGGCATATATCACCATAGTACTGGGGACTGATCCTAAGGTTGTGTCCATGCTAGGCCACCGTTTAAACAACCGATCTATTCCCTCTTGACCCTCAGAGCAGTTTTGACAGAGGTCTTATGGGTTCCATTACTAGTGAGTCTTGCCGAGGGCCTTGATGTCAAGGAGAGCAGGAGGGAGCCTTGGAGACAGGCAGGCCTGTCTGTCGCAAGACTCTGTCCAGGCTATGATTTATCTGTCCACTGAGGGCTTCCGTGTTTCTGTACCAAACAGGAAGCTCTTCCCCCCTTGCTGGACAGAGTCCGACCCAGTTCACTCCCCCAGTTTTCCTTGCGTGAAAACAATCCTGTGGTTTACTGGGCCTAAGCCCAGGCCTGGGGTCAGGCCCTCAGCATGTGTCATCTTGAATTCCCAGAATACTTTGGCCTGGTCGGGATCATTTCTGTTTCAGAGATAAAAGTCTCATCTCAGAGAGGCGGTGAGTGGCAGAGCAGGCTGGAACCCACCGGCATCATTGTGCTGCACTCTGCGGCTTTACGGCTCTTAAAGATGTCAGGGCAGGATCTTTGGGAAGGGCAGTCTGTGCGTCCTGATCTGTATAGCCTTAGACCTGGAGCTGTAGGATAGGAGCTGCTGGGCCTTTACTGCCTAGCCAGCCCTGCTATGGGCCTGGGAATGAGGCCAGCTGGACACAGTGGGAAAACATCCCTTCCCCCTGCAGGGGTGGATTTTGAAGGTTGCCATGGCTCTCCTGATCCAGTTAGGATAGAGAGGTGGAGAATGAGCCTCCAGGGGTGCCCATCGTTTGGTACATATTGTCTGTTAATTTACATGGGCCTTGCATGCAGCACACAGTGTGTAGTGGGACGTGGGACGACGCCTTTGCCCAACTTCTGAATCCATTTCTGTCAGGACTCTGTTTTAGGAGCTGGGCCTCCAAGGCCAAGCCAGTGTTCACAGGTGAAGGGGGAAAATTGGGCAGACAAAAGAATGACGGAGTCATTCCCTGCCCATTTTTCCATAGGTCCCAGAGAGCCTGTAGGGAATCTATAGAGGCAGGAGTGATGCTGAGACCCAGCCTTGGTACTGTTACAGGCAGAGTGCAGTACTGCAGTAAGACTGGTCTCCAGTCTTAACTCTGAGCATTTTAGAGAGTGGTCAACCTTTTCTTTCTCAGCTCTAGTTACCCCATACCCTTAAATCTGTTACAGTGTGGTGACCCGTGCAAGACCATCTATATCAGGATCCCCTGCCCTTGAGAACTGGAGGCTTTCTTCTGCTGTTAGGACTTTGCACAGAAGGACCCTCAGCAGCTGGCCAGGTTGTCCATGGTTGGGTGATGTCTGGTCTGATCAGATCTGGCCATTCATTGTCGAGCTAAGTGCTCACTGTCAGCCTCAATATGGAACTGGAATTAAACATGGCGGGGGCAGCAGCAGACAGCAAGCAGCTAGTGACATTCGCCATTCTCTTTCAGGGATCCCCCCCGTCATGTCCAGGTGAGGCCGAGGAGTGCCGTGCTGAACATGCTCAGGAGGCTGGATAGGATCAGGTTCAGAGGCCACAAGAGAGAGGACTTCCTTGATCTAGCCGAGTCCCCAAATGCCTCGGACACCGAGTGTGGAGACGAGATCCCCTTGAAGACGCCACGGCCCTCGCCCCGGGACAGTGAGGAGCTCAGGGACCCTGTGAGTATGCCAGGCCCTGAGTCTTTTACATCTCTCAATGTGGGCAGTGGGGCAGGGCGAGGGGTATTAGACCCAGTTCATAGGTGTCCAAGCTGAGTATGGACATGGGAAGATTCATGCCTGACCAGACTGTTTGGACATGCTCAGAAGCCCAATTCTGTTTCTTGTTGCCTGTCTACCACAACCCACAGAGTCCACTGGGACAGGCAGGCCCTTGTCTAGGTGGGACTTCTGGAAAAAGTTTTGTCTAGAAGCTGTATTATTTTTCTGGGTGTTTGGGAAACTTGTCATATAAATTCAATGTTGTAGCCTGGCTGCCACCCCACCAGTGTTGGTGTAGTGACGGGGTAGGGTGTGGCTGATCTGAAAGCTACTGGCTCCCAGCTTGTCTGCCTGTGCCAGGATGTATGTCACTGACCCAGCCACTGGCTGAGCCCTCACTAACTCACACAGTGGCCAGTGGCAGGGAGCTCTCTGTCCAGGCATCAAATATCACCAGAGAACCCTAGCCAGGGGAAGGCTTTGGTGTGAACAAACCAAGGACCCCTGCCCTCCAGAGCTTGGAGGAGTGCAGAATAGAGCTGGGTAAGTAAGCACCTTGCAGTCTTTCCTCTGAATAGGCCTCTTGAGTCTCAGGCTGGCTGTGGTGTGCACGTCTACTCAGCCTCCGTCCCTAGCACCCCAGCACCTTGAGTGTACTTGATGGCCATTGGTTTTCCTCTCTCAGCCCCCCACCCCCACCCCAAGCCTGGTAATCTTTCCAGATGTGACTGCGATCACTGGCCTTCTCTTAGCTCTTGTATTATTAATGGTTCATAATAGAATGGTGACTGTGTACTGCTCATGGCAAGATTAATAATTTACTAGCGCTGCCTCCTAAGAGCCTGGCTGTGTGCCCTATGGGGCCTAGCCAGGTGGGCAGGGCCACTTGCTTTCCTATCCAGCCTCCCGGTGTGTTTGGCTGGTGCTGTTCCCAGAGTTTAAAGTCAATGGCTAGTCCGTTAGCTATTGGTCTAGGGGGTGGGTCGTGCTTTTTAGCTTGGTGTGTCCTGTTTTGCAGGTGACAATGCAGAGTAATACAGACTTGACAAGATACTTAATGGTATCTTGTCGAGTGCTGGGGTGGAGGTGTGGAAGCCATGGGTCTGGGCAAGATGAGAACCTTTGGGTTGAGCATCTCAGGGACAAGAATTGACACACACACACTCACATACACACACACACACACACACACATACCCTTAAACATACATATACACATATGCATATACATGCATACATGCAGGAACACACAAATATACACATACAATCACATACACGTATACATATACACACATATACACTCTCACACATGCATGCATACATATATACATGCACATGTGTGTGCCTATAGACACACACACACACACACACACACACACACACACACACAGAAGATATGAGATTCTGGGTTCAGTGGCCAAAAGAACCTACTCAGATGTTGAAGCATGGTTTGTCTTGGCTGTCACTCCGCCTGCCCATCTGCGCCAGGATTGTGTGGTAGAATCGGACATGTCTGAGGTAACATGAGGCAGTTATAGAGAAGAGGGTGGTATATGGGTGTAAAAGTGACTTTTACTCTCCTGTAGTCCTTGTTGTCTCTGAGGCTTACTGCCTCTGTCTGCTAACCTAGGCCTCGTCCTGGAAGCTTCTAGCTTCAATATAGTCTAATCTAGGCCTTGAATGTCTTCAGCCTCTGAGACTTACCACCAAATAAGCTCACCCTTTCTAACTCTTGCTGAACTCTGGCTGGCTGGTCAACTCAGCTGTTCAGGCTCAAAACTCCTCTCCACGCTGACTGATACAATATGGTTTCTCTCTTGGTCTCTGGCTGAATTTCTCTGCTTGGCCTCATACTAATTTGGGCAATATGGTTCTAATCATCTGGCTCCTTCTCCTTCTCTGGTTCTTCTGTTTTCACCTGTGTCTAGCTTGTTCTCTCTTTGCAACCTCTGTACAACTGTCCTGGTAAAACTTCCCTCTCTCCCTTTCTCTCTCCTCGATGCTCTCTCTTAAGTAGCCTCTCTTTCCTCGTAAGTATTGGGAGTATCCTATTCTGTCAAATCTTTCTCTGATTTGTCACTTTCTCTGTCACTCATTTGGGCATCACTTTTGAACATGGGTGCTTCCTTCTTCAAACTAACTTTACCTTCATTGTTTGGGATCCAAGATGTGTACTGAAGGTGTATCTGTGTTCCAGCCAGAGAGATTAAAGGTGTGTCTTAAGGGCTGAACCACACCACAACTAGAAATAGGGTTTTTCAGTAAATAACACAATCTTGGGGTTCACAGTGGGATCGACTGTCCTACAACATATGGTCTCCAGGGATAGCCACCCCAGGTCATAGCCTCACTTGGCTACTTAGCAGCTGCAGGGTCTAGCTAGAATCTGGTTTGAAAGAGTTTTCCTGTAATATAGACCATAGGTGCTTTTATCCCATGTGACCTACCACCCCGGGATGTCTGACCAGCCCTGGACCTCCTGCTGGTGACATAGCTAGGTATGGGGTTGCCAGAAGATTTTGAGTTTGTGGCCTCAGCCCATGGCCACATGCATGGTTGGGGACCCTCATGGCAGATACAGGCTTGGGTATTGGTTGATGATAAGGTTTAGGTAGGGAGTGACATATTATTCTAGGACAGGTTCTTGTGGCTACTTTGGGTGACATTGGTGTAGAGCTGGGACACCTGGTGGCTAGAGAGGGCCGCTAAGCTTGTGCCCTTAAAATTTGCATATCCTATTTTGCTTGTCTTGATGTCACAGAGAAGGTCTGTCCCTGGTGTGTGTTGTAGTGATCTTAGGTAGAAGGGAGTTAGCCCAGAAGGTGCATGTTGCTGGGCTGGCTCTGAAGAAATAGGAGAGGAAATCGCAGGGTGTGGAGCACTTAGCTGGAGGGGGAACATCTGGATTTAGGGGATTCTAGGAGCCCTGGTGAGGGGGGGTCAGTGCTGAAGCTGGGTTGTTTTAGGGTGACTAGCTTGGAGAATGTAGAGCAAGAAGGGACTCGCCAGGGCATGGTGCTAGTCGGATAGACCACCTCTGATGTGTAGGAAACCCCCTGTGAGGCAGGAAGGTTCTGGGGGATGTGTTGATTTGGGAGGTAGGCTTCACTTCCTGAGCTGCAGCTGGGAAAAGCTGCTGCAGAGGTCTCACCAAGGTCAGACTTGGGACCTGGGCTCTTGTACCTTCTGGCATTAGGAGCTCTGTGGGGAAACTGCACCAGGGGAACCTGGGTGCCAGGAATCATGGGGAATCTCTGTTAGTTCAGCCTTGAAGGAAAAACAGGTCCTAGCTCAGATCACTGTGTAGAGTCCCAGGTTACTGGTTGAAGAGGGACTAGGTGATGCTGTTTGCCCTTAAACCCATCCCCACCCCCCAATACCCAGTTTAAAAAGGGTTCATGTTGGTGTTTATCCTGATTTGAGGTAATACTAGTTGACCCATTGTTCCCATGCAGGTAGGTATCAGCACCCATGAACTAGCGACTCAGAGGCTTCCTACCGGGCCGGGTCCTTTGTCGTGACTTGGTTGTGTTTTGTGTAGACCCTGCTCTGGGGTCTCTCCCCAGGGACTCCAGGTCAGGACACACAATGGTAACTATTTTCCTACACCTGTCCCGTTCCTCCTTGGGGGTCAGGTGGCCTTTTGCTCTGTGCAGCCTCACGGAGTGATTGGGAGCCCAGGCACCAGCGTGGAAACCTCAGTGGTTTGTTGGTTTGATGCCAGGCTAATAGCAGCACCCCATGAGGATTGCCATGAGCATTACGGGGGCCATTGTGTCAGTCAGATTCAGTGGCCTCCAGTGTATGTTTTCTATTGTGCAGACCAAGAAGGACTGTGCATGCTTTAGTGGTCATTGGTGATTCCTCAGCTTCTACCTGGCCCACCACTGGCCTGCTGTGTCTCTGTGGCACTGCGTATTCTTAAATTTTTTTTCCAGGCATAGTAGTGCATGCCTTTAGTCTCAGCACATGGGAGGCAAAGGCAGGTATCTCTGTGAGTTCAAGAACAGCTTCTATCTGTCTATCTATCTATCTATCTATCTATCTATCTATCTATGTGAGTTCAAGAACAGCCTCTGTCTGTCTGCCTGCCTGTCTGTCCATCTATCATCTATCTATCCATCTATTATCTATCCATTCATCTATCTATCAATCTATCTATCTATCTATCTATCTATCTATCTATACATCTGTTCTCTGTATTCATCGTGACGTCAATTTTAGAGGTCTGAGTACAACTTGTGGGAGTTGATTCTCTCTTTCTACCATATAGGTCCTAGGGTTCAAACTCAGGCTGTCTGGCTTGCCTGCAAGTGCCTTTTCCTAATGAACCACTTCATGGCCTGGCATTACCTATCCTGTACATTTTCCTGTAAAATAACTGGCTCAGGTGTAGCCTCTGGTGTCTGGCATTTTCCTTTTTGTGACTTAATAATGACCTGTGGTTTGGGCTGAGGGTATGGCTCAGCGATGGAGAGGTTACCTAGCATGTGCAAGGCCCTGTGTTCTCCCAAGTGTATCTACGTGCCTGATTTTCTGGAATGTCAGAATATGTCTAATTCCAGCACTCAAGAGGCTAAAAAGCAAGGTTACCACAAGGCCATCTTAGGCTACATAGCAAGTACTGGTCCAGCCATGCCTATATAACAAGAGTCTGTCTCAAAAATAAAACAAAACAATAACAACCTTAAAATAAATAAATAATACAAGCCCCATGATTTGGATGGACCACGTTTGTTTATCTATGCACAAACCAGTAGACACTAGGTTTGTTTCCACTTTGGGGCTCTGACAAACAACAGAACAACCGGGAATATAGTTTCTCCCAAACATCTGTTTGCATCTGGAGTCACTGGGTCACATGGAGGCCCTGTGTTTCCGAGGGAACTGCTATGCTGTTTTCCACAGGCAATGAGGCCATTTTCCACTCCCGTGTGTGGGGGTCTGTGGATTCCCGAGGTCTGAGTGGCACAGATGCCCCATCAGCCAGTGCTCTGTGGAGACCCTTGAGATCGTCCAGCTGCTTCCCTCAGCAGGCATTCAGGCTCCCACTGTGGAATATGTTTCTGCTTTCAGTGATCTCCCCACTGAGGGACACTGGTGCCCTCCAGCTTGAAGTATTGCAGGGTCTGGGAGTCACAGGAAAGTGCTGGAGGCCTCCAGAGGCTGCCCTCCTCCAGACAAAGTACTTCATCCCCACGGCTGGCCTAAAGGCCCGTGTTCCTGTGCCTCTGCCTAGGGTTTCCTCCAACTCCTGTGTCAGCTAACTTAACTCAGGCAAAAGAGACAGCTCAGCTTATCTGCCTTTTATCATGAGAGAGACGGTCGTCTCTACACTCACTGCGTTATGTAAATTTACAGTGGTTTCTTCCCAGCCTCAGTCTATGTCTAGGCTCCTGGCTCCCAGGTCACAGTTACTCCTCCTGAGTCTGAAGCTTGCAGAAAGATTCTGACCAGAACTTAAGCACAGTACCCTGGGACCTTGCCACCCTTGTTAGAGACCTTGATCACTTGGCCAAGTCTCTTGGGGCCTACCTTCAGTGCTGCTATAGAGTCAGGGGACTCCCCTGAGCTGCGACCTCTTCTGCCCTGAGGCTGCCAGAATTGATGCTGATTAGAACCACCCCCCCAACCCCCCCCCCCCACCCCCGGGGCCAGGGGTTAGGATATCCATTCAGGGATGTAAATGAGTATTCAAGTGTAGCTGGCCCTCTAGGGATGAACTGGCTGTCTTTGGCAGGAGCTTGCTGAACCCATCAAATTGACTGGCCTTTCTTTGGCCCCCTCTGCTTTCCCTGCCAGTCTCTGCACCATACCCTCAAGCTTGTCTGTTGTGTGCCTACTCAGCCCTCTTCTGGGAAGGTTGGCTTAGAGGCTGGGAGGTACTGTTTCCTCTCCAAGCTTCCTTCCTATCCCCATCACTTGGGGTTCACCCTTCCTGGCCTCACAGGCTGAGAAGTGTAACGTCATTGAATCTGGTTGGTCTGCTGGGCTGCTTTGAAAACTGGCATTACCTGTAGGCTCCAGGATCCCGTGGTCCCATCATAACCCCAGCCAGGGATCTGAAGCTTGATCTTGCTGCTAGAGGGACCAGCACACATAAACAGGACATAAGGAATGCCAGGGTGACTGTGCCATGCCTGGCATTTGATAGGTGGCTATCTTTTGATTCGGGGGGGGGGGAAAAAAACTTGGGTTCTCTCCACGTCCCCCCCTGCCATGGGAGTGAATTCTCGTCTAGAGAAGTTTATCTTAGGACCCCACTCCAAGGCATTCCCCCAGTGGTCAAAGCAAGGGCTTAGGATGCAGAGACATGGGTACACATCCTCTCTTTGTTCCCACTAACAGCTGATGGTCCCTAACTTTCTTCTTCAGCCCCTACAGCGAGGCTATGTGGGGACTGTGTGGAGCCAAGTGACAGCTCCAGCAGAGGAAGGTCACTCTCATCCCAGAGCTGGCTGCTTGGGGCGTATAGCTCTCCACTGTCTTCTCCCAGGGTTAGCGTCCTTCCTCTGAACCAAATCTCTCAGGCGATACAGATCAAGTCCACTGCTTTCTCAGGACTCCCGGGGTCCCTCTCCCCTCCATCATCCCATGAGGAAATCACGGGAGGAACTGGTTGTAGGGAGGGCAGAACTCGAGAGTGGAGTAGAGGAGGCAAGCCCTTAGCATGGTTCTGTGCTGGGTAGAGCTTGCTTCTTGCTCGTGGGGTCTTCTCTGCTATGTAACTGTAATAGCCAGTCATCTCCAGGGCAGGGCCTCAGTTATCCTGAATGGGCTGTACCCACTCCTATGGCCTGACTCACCTAAGACTCCCGTCATAGGGTCAGTCCCTTGACAAATGGGGCCTCGGACTCAACATAATACTCCTGCTGTAAGCCCGCTGGTGCCTGTGAGCAGAGCAAGTGAAATATTTAACAAACCTCCTTGTAGGCTAGCCCAGACCACAGTCAGAGTGTGGGGCATTTCTTGGAGATGGAGCAGGAACAAGGCTGAAGAGCTCCTGGATTCCTGAATCCCATTTCAATTCAACATTGATGACCTCGTTCTTAAGATAGGCCTTGCCTGAGTGCGCCCGGGGGCAGGGAGGCTAGGCGTGACTCAGACACAGGAGGAATGAGTAGAACTTTTGGAAGGTGCCTAGACAAGAGGGCCAGAGAAGAGGAGTTGGAGACAAAGAAATTGGGGTGCACATGCTAGAACCAGCCTCAGTAGAGCTTCCTGGGGAAATATAGTATGCTTATCTGTTCAGGGAGTAAAGCAATAGGTGGTAATAATAACAGGGCAAAGTTAGGAGTTAGGTGCTCACCAGGATGGCAGACACCACAGCCCAGAGCTGGGTTAGAGATGAGCTGGTTACCTGTATCCTGAAGTTTGCATTTGAGATTGCGTGAGCCCCGTGGTCCCTTCACAAACAACCACTCCTGGCATCTGATTACCCAGCTACCTTTAACGTTTCAGGGGGTAGTTGAATTGAGAAGGGATGGAGACAGGCAGCCATGTTGGGGTTTGCCTCCAGGTCCGATAGCCTGTATATATGGAGTCCTGCACACAGGCCAGTACAGACTCAGTGGCTCTCTCCTGGCTCAGTATGCTTAGTTTTGGGGCTGGCTGGAGCTGAACCACCACAGATGTCTGTCTGGTGGTTCTGGGCTGGAGGTCATCTCGCTTCCCACCTGATTGTGAGCTTTCTTGGGATCCACTGCTATGTGACCTGGAACACAGGCGTGGATGCATATCCTCTTGGGGAGTTTTCTTGTCCTAGACAGGGTTTTTGGAGCACTGGGATACTCCTAGCTCTTCTAGAACAGGTACCTCAAAGCTGGATTTCATCTGTCAGCCTTGAGCTGGGGAGTGACACCCTAGGGCCCCTTAACTTTCATATGCCACTGTCTGTACCAGGGGGCCTGGTCCATGTCTGTGTAAACCTGTGGGAAACAAAGCTGGAAATGCAGGCCAGGGGGCGCAGACAGGGTATCCATGGACTGGGGGGCTTTGTGTCTTCCAGCTCCTTCATCCCAGGCTATATCTCCTGAAAGGTACACATATCGACAAGCTAACCCAGTCGGCTTGCCTACACATATGTTCTGTTATTGCCTAGGAGACGTTGGGGGACCCAAGCAAGGTGGCCAGGTCCCCTCTGTTGCTTGCAAGGCATTTGTGTGTGTGTGTGTGTGTGTGTGTGTGTGTGTGTGTGTGTATGTGTGTTTGCCATGTCAATAGCAGGGTGCCACTGTGGGGATGACCATGTGCATTCCCACTGGCCCGAGAGGCTGTGCAGTGCTGTGCAGTGCTGGGTGGAGCTGGGTGGAGCGTCAGCAGGATGCATAGCTGTACCCAGCGCCTATGACGATGGCTGTGGGCACTGTGACTAGGGATAGCTCGTGGCCTCCAGGACAGGACAGTGGTAGAATTTGCTCCCTGGAGACCCAACAGGAAGGATTTGGTGTGGCGTGACAATACACAAGGTTTTCCCAGCACTCGAGAGGCTGAGGCAGGAGGATAGTGAATTTGAGGCTGGTCTGGACTGTATCATGAGACTGTCTCAAAACCAAAACAACAGAAACCAAGTTTAACACTCTATTTAGTGTTTTGACCCCCCCCTTTCATTGTTAAGTGGGTATGTGTGTGTTTGCATGTGTAGGTGTACGTGTGTGTGCACGTGTGCACATGCGTGCACGTGGAGGCACGAGGTCGATGTCCGGGATCATCCTCCTTTAATCTTCTGCTCTATTCACTGAGGCAGGATCTCTCAATCAAACCCAGAGCTCAGTGATTGTGAGTCTTGCTAGCCTGTCTGCTCTAGTGATTCCCTGCCTCTGCTCTCTGAGGCTGGGATTCCAAGTGTAGGCTACCATGCCCACCTGGCATTTGTGAAGGCTCTGGGGATCCGAACTCTGGTCTTCATACTTGTGTGTCAGTCTCCCCAGGCCTCATAGAGGGTTTTGATTTTTGTGTATGTGTGTTATTTGTTAAGACCTCAGGTCAGGACTGAGAAGATCCATACTGTCTAACATCTCGAGGTGGGTGGGTAGGCTGGTACGCAGTTGTAGAGCCCGTGTTTCCTTGTCTCAAATGTTCAGGAAAATGCTTGTGAGGAGCCTCTGGCCGTTATTTTGACCATAATATACTTTCCCTTGTGATCTGTCTTGCAACTGCCACACCGAGGCTCTGAGGCTTCCTAAAACCAACTGGGATCAGGCAAGGCTGCTTCTGTGTGGCCCTCTGAACTCTTGGTGTTCTCTTTCCAGGCTGGTCCAGGGACCCTCATCATGGCGGCAGGTGTGCAGGACTTCAACAGGACAGAGTTCGATCGGCTGAATGAGATCAAGGGTCATCTGGAAATCGCCTTACTGGAAAAGCACTTCCTTCGTGAGTGTGAGGAAGTACTTATGGGTTGCAGGGGATGGGCCTGAGGCAGGGTGAGCTGGAGCTGCTATGGTATGGACATGGGACAAGTGTGCCTGGGGGCGGGTGCGGATGGGGGCAGACACATGTGAATATATGCATGTGTTGGGGTAGGTGTGAACAGAGGCGTGTGCAGAGAAAGGCTTGGACCAATATATGGACTTGAACATTGATGCCCCCATATGACATTTCCCTCTGAACGTGTGTCTTGTCTGTCTGTTGCCTGTTGCTTCAGAAAACCCAGCCCTGGCCTGTGCTTTGCAGATGGGGTCAGGAAACAGCTGGAGTCTGGGAAAGGAGTGACCTAGTCTATGAGAATTGGGAAGATTGTCATAAATCAAGCATAGTTGACTCAGAATTTTCGGAGTTCCTCATAGGCATCTGAAACTGTTTGTACTGTTACATACAGAGGGACAGTGGGAAGACCCTGGGACCCAGTTGTTTGAGGGCCGTCCACTCCTGGCTCCTGCTGGCCAGATCTTGACATTTGGAGTAAGGAGGAGGTGGTTTTGGGCAGAACAGGAGCTTTTGCAGGTTCAACCCAGTCTCATCTCATGTTTGGTCTTTCTCGTAACTCCCACGTCCTCCTGGTCTTACAGATGAGTAAACTGAGGCACGGTAGTCGTCCTACCATGTATCGAGAGTAGTAATGAGGACTTAAGCCAACCTGGCTAACTCCAGAGCCCGTGCTTATGGCCCCGACGCGTGTTGTCAGAGCTGATCTGATCCTCACAGAAGCCAAGGCTACTGGAAAGCAACATAGGAAGAGCGCTTCAGGCCGGCTTGCCCAGAGCCCGTCCCCATGAATCCATGGAGCAGGTCCAGGCCAGGGGCAGGGCATAGGAGGGCTGCTGGAGCACTCGCCCCACTGGAGCAATTTGAAGGTGCACAGCATTGAGCCAGCCAGAGCTTATGAGGGTGAGGGATTGGGGGACTCTAAGGGTGCTAGATCATTAAGGAAAGTGTCTGACTGCATACTTGGCTATTCTGCTGTAGGACACATTGTTGGCATCCTAGGAACATGACCACAATTCTTTTATCCGTGTTACCCAAAGAGGTATCTCATCCGACTCCTTGGTAACTTTTTTAAGGGAAGGGGTGGGACTTTTCAAGACCGCGTTTCTCTGTGTAGTCCTGGTTGTCCTGGAACTCATTTTGTAGACCAGGCTGGCCTCAAACTTAGAGATCCACTCACCTCTGCTTCCCAAGCACTGGGATTAAATGTGTAGGTCACCACCACCCTCCTTGGTAACTCTTAAGGCAGTCATGGTATTTCCCCTGACAGTGTATGGGCTTCTCCTGGCAGTTTTCTTTTATTCATTAATTATGGAAGATTTTGAATATATACGGAAACAAAGCAGAAAGCATCAGAGGCTCCTGTCGACTCACGCCTGCCTCTCCAGGAGCGGATTCTAGGCCAGGCTGGCTTCGCTCCTCCCCCTCTGGGTTGGGCGAAACTCAGCCAGCACGCTATCGCTTCATCTGTAAATATTTTAGTAGATAGCTCAATGTGTTTTAATGACAAAAGCTGAGAGACCAAGATGGGAAGTAGAACAACACACAGCTTTTCCCCGATTGCATCAGAGACCGACTGGAGCTGGGATCTCCCTGATAGGTTTTTGACAACTCCGAATTGATACCCAACAAGGTCTGTGGGCGGGAACGGCTGGCGTATCTCCTCTGTCTTTTGGTGCCTTCTTCTCTCTCTATTGCTGCCATAGTCCTTGGTGACTAGCTCACCAAGGCTGGGACTCCCTGCTGGAGTCTATGGATAATGTCCCATAGAGTCAGCATGTCTGCCATCCCTCCTCCACAGTGATGGATGTGGCTGGTGTTCGGGGCAGCCTTTTGATGATATTCTTGTGCGTTACCCCCGAGGCATGCTACCCACGACATCACAAAGAGCAGGCACCTCGGCAGAGTTTTCAGACTGGTCGATTTTGTTTGTCCGTAGTTCCTGCTCCTCTCACTGATTAGCTGACAAGTTTCTGCCAACGAATTCCTCTTTGCTCTCTTTGCCCTGAGATACGGTAAGCATGGGAAAGGCAAATTACACAAACTTCCTCCCTTTGTGACACAGTTTTAAATATTCCACCTGAGACCAGAGAGGGTCCCTGCTCCACGCTGTGTGTTTTAGAATCACCAGGAGTTCCAGTAACAAGGAGCGATCATGGAGCTATGGCCTCTGCGTGTGTTCATAGTTCTGCCTCTGGGATGCACAAGCCTCATCCCTTGGCTTCTTGGCCTGTTCACAGTGGAACAAGATAGTCTAGTTCCTTCCCCTCCCCCATTAACACTTCCTGTGCCAGTGCTGGAATTAACTGTTTTTCCAGGCATTTTTGTTCCTTTCTGTGAAGGATTACAGGACGGTCACTGTATCTGGGAGTCATCGTGTCTTGACCATTACAATGACCAGGGCTAGGGCAGTATGAGTTCAGACAGGTGAATGTATAGGAACAGACAGCCAGGACTCCAGTGTCTTTTGGGTCATCACTGAGTCTTTACTGTGTCTGTGTCTTCAACTCACACTGAGTATGGTTCCCAGAGGCAGCATCGACAGCCGTACTCAATTGTCTTATCTCACACTAATATTCGAGTCTCAGGGCCAGCGGGGCATGGTGGTAAACACCTATGATCCCAGAGCTGAGGCAGAGGTAGGAGGCCTGTAGAATCGGAGGCCAACCTGGGATAGGAAAGAAACGCTGTCAAAACTAAAGCAAAACCCCACAAACACCCTAGTGTGGCAGTGTACACCTTTGATCCCCGCTTGAGGCAGGAGGCAGGAGGCAGAGGCCAGCCAGAGCTGCACAGAGAGACCCTGTCTCAAAAATAAAACATAAAAATGCCAGGGCCACCACCAGCCTGGGGACCACTGAGCCCAGTCTGTGGCTTTTGCCCCTTCTGTCCCGAGGGAGCATCTCACAACGGAAGCGAGGGAGCATCTCACAACGGAAGCGTCAGTTTCTTCATTGAAATGCCACCTGCACAGTTGGTTCCTGTCTCTGCCTCCTGGCCTTGCCATTGAGGAGTGCAGGACCGGCTTCAGTCATTTCTCTCACCCTTGATGTTTACAGAGATTGCCTTTGTTTGGCTGGAGTCTATTTTGACTTTATTTCAAACCCAGAAGAAAGTTACAAAAATAGCACTGAGAATGTCTGCATGCTTCTCCTGGAGTTACTCCTCAAAGTGTAACAATGTTGCCACACTCGTGGGTCCGTGGGGTTTTATCCGTCCAGCCCGCCTCCCACCATCTAGCTTTACATATACACGTGCGCATCCCCCGTTATCTGTCTCCCATCTCCCTCTCGTCTATGTAGCCATCCACCCACACATCCACCCATCTTCCATCCATCCATTTCCACATCTGTCCACATCCTACTTTCCCATCAATCCCCCCCATGTATCTATGCATCTCACCCACTCACACATCCATCCACCACATCCGTCTCTTGCCCACCAGCCCACCTGTCCACCCACCCCTCCATCTCTCATCCACCTACCCGTCCATCCATTCATCCATCTGTCCATCTATTTATATGGTTTATTTTCCCTGAGCCGACTGATGGTCCGTTTCAGACACGGTGCTTCTGAGTTCCGAGTACTCTTGCCATGCGTCCTAAAAGCAAGGCTATTCTCTTATCTAGCCTCAGCGTGCAGTGCGCAGCTATCAAAACTGTGAAGTAATATTGCTATGCCATCATCTGGTATGAGACCTTACTGCGGCCTTACCGTTGTCTCGTGTCATTTTTAGCAAAAGGAAGTTCTGATCACATGTCACCTCTTTGGTCACCTTTCGTCAGCTTGTTTCCTGGAGCAGGTGTTTTTCGAGGCACGCGGGTAGGTTGCTTATAGAATGGGCTCGGGTTTAGATGGTCTCTGTTGCTTTACAGAGACTCGGCTCATGTGGCTTTTGCCCTGAATGTCACAGACGTGATGAGGTGTCCTCAGTGCCGGTCACAAGGTATAGGATATCACCTCACCTCATTCTGCATGATGCTAAGAATTCCTTGTCAAATTCAATTCTTGTAGTTATCTAAATTTATTGCACTGGGGGTGTAGCTCAGTGGCAGAAGGCCCACCAGGCATACTCAAGAGAGGGCCCGGGTCCCTTCCACAGTACTGGAGGAAGAACAAAGCACCCAATCAAGAAAAATTGTTTACAGTAGCATAAGCCTATGGTTTCAGCTCAAGGGAGGCTAAGCCAGGACGTCACCTGAACCCTGGAATTCAACACCAGCCTGGGCAATACAGTGAGACCCTTTCTAAAAGCAGATTTTTAAAAAGATAATACCGATTGGCTTATCTGGCTGCACTATCAAGTGATAGGCAGGGAACTCGAGTCTCCCCTGGAGGCTCAGTTTTCTTCTAACTTAATAATCCTTGCTATTGATTTTGTGTTTGGTTGTACCTTCCCCTCTAGATAAGGGCTAGCACACTCGCTCTATGCACACTTGGGTTCTGTTGTGGCAGTCACTCTAGGATGGTACCAGAGATCCTCCCTGTTCTGTTTTCTGTCTGTGTCCCCAGTCTGGGTGTGGCCTAATCTACCAGTTGCCTGTTGGTGACCGATTATACCATCTCCAGCCTTCTGTGCTGACTGTTAGTTATAGGCAGCCCTTCCCAGTCCTCTGCACCTTGACGGTTGGGTGGGACCTATTTTTATACCCGAGGCTTGATGTCTCCAGTGTAGTAGGTGCTGAGTGACTGGAAGAAACTGCAGAAAAGCCTGGTAGAGGTGGAGTTTGCACAGAGGAGTCTGTGCCTCCACCCAACATGGCATCCCTCACAGTCTCCAGGGTAATACAGTCTTAGAGTCTTGAGACACACAAATAAGTTCTGGCTGTCACTAAGCCTATACAACACGTGCTGGCCTGGTGGTTCCTGTTCCTCCTGGTCGGCAGGGGAAATACTGTGAGGGGAGAGCTGCAGGCTGGCCTAGAGACCTAGGCTTCCAGCTCTTACTT